AATTTTACAAGGCGCAGGTTCGGCCACACATGGAATACCACCAGCTCCTTCCACTTGACCGCATACAGCGCAGAGCGGCTCGAATCGTCGACGACCGAGTGCTTTCCGATCGGCTCGATTCACTGGCGCTGCGAAGAGATATTGAATTTCTTTGCATTTTCTTTCGCATATACCATGGGGACTGCTCCTAGGAATTGTTCGGATTAATCCCAGCCACCAAATTTCATGGAGGCACTACGCGGCAAACGTTCCGAAAAGGAGTTTTCTTCCGCGTACAACCTTTCTGTGGAATAGTTTACCACCGGCGATTTTTCCGGACCGATACGACCTGGGTACCTTCAAGAAAAGAGCTTACTCATTTCTAAAGGGCCGGTAACGCACCTGAAATTCCTCTGGTGTTGCGATTGATCATGGGCGGCGGTAGTCACTTAACATCAGATGAGCCGCATGCTCGTTTGCCCCCCTCTTCTTTAAAAAAATATAGCTTCCATGACAATAAGATAAGAAATATAAAGAGATACATATATTTATAGTCGATCGATTGCTGTTTGAACTGCCAGTGAGAACTCTCTCTCTCTCTCCATTAAGTAGTTTGTCGCAGCGACAAGATCTATCAAAGATAAAACTTGCTCAGCGATACTCGTTTGGTGGTCAAAACTTACGCCGTGGTACCAACCAACGGTTATTATACTCTACGGTGTTGATGTGAGTGCGTTTGTTTATAGCCCGGCGACAAATCTATCGGAACTGAATCGATTATCGCTGCTCGCCAACTGTTATCTAGATTTTAGGTCTACTCGATTCTCGTTCATTGTTGGCGATGGAATAAGGGCCTTAAATATAAGGTGTTATCCTACATAAATTTGGATAAAAAATTTCACCTCTAAGGATGGCAAAATAGGGTATAACGTTATTAATGTAACTTTATAGACAACAACATGGAGATTGGGCTCTTCCTCTTCCCACTCAGAGGCTATAAAAATAACCTTTATTAAAAAGTAATAGCCGACATCAAATAGCTAAAAAGAGTCAAATAACAAGGTTGCACGCTTGGCAGGCGGGTTGCCAAACACGTTATTTTATTTTTAGTTATTATTAGAAAAATGCTGCTGCTCACCTTCTGGTTTATTTCTCCCCTATAAGGTATCTAAAGAAATAAATAAAATTGAAGTGTCTGTTTGTAATTTCAAAATAAAACCTTTTTTATTGAATTTTTATATATGAATTCCTTTATATATGAAAGCGTATATGGTACTTATAACAAAAAAAACTATATTATTTCTGTGTTTTATTATTCTTCTCTCTTTGTATTTATGTTGCGTGATTAACCAAGAACAGTTTTTAATTCTTTATTTCGAATATTGGATCTGTTTTAGTTTAGCCATAGAGTTCTAGTCAAGTAAAATAAGGTTACAGCATATATATTATGAGTACATTCCTCAGCTGGAGACAGTCTCCTCTTATTTCTAAGATGATTATTCATTCATTTTCATTATTTAATTACAATCTACCAAACTCCACAACTGAAAATATGCCTACCCGCATATTGTTCATGCTTAGGTTCTTCAGCGATTCTGCCATGAGGACTTAATCGGCGGCAAATCGAAAGTTAGTAATGTACTAGCCATTGACGTTAATACCGTATAATCTTCCAGTATAAGTGGTATATTTTTCATTATTGCTACGCTAGATAAGTGGGTTGTCAAAGGCAGTTTTTTTTATATGCTGCCCATCTCCTGGTTAATTTCCGTTTGTCGCCTCTTTCAACGCTCACTTTAGAATATATTCGTTAGTAGATATCCTTACACTGCCACTAAATAGTGATAATAGTAATATTTAAATAAACGTAAAAAGAAACAATCAAATTAGTAATATATTAATATACGCGTTTACAAGATAGAAAACTACAGACCGAGTAGTATTATTAATAACGTCGACTAACGGTGTAAGTAAAAGCGTAAATATTTTCTGTACTCAATCAAATAACAGACGTAATGTTTGCTTTACGGTTCGTTACTATTGCTAACGGCGTTATGAAAGGCTCACGCGTGTTCAGTGGAAAATTCTTAATTATAGTGTCAAAATATATACAACGTACGATTGTAATAAAAAAAATATTCATAAATAAACTAGGAACCTGACTGCTGTGATCTATTATTATTTATTACTACATTTCATGTAAAAATATTACCAAACAATTACAGCAGTTGTCCTGCGAGTTTAATCCGTCGATTGACCTCCCGGTCTGAATTGGACTTACCTAGTCGGACTTTTGTCCCAAGTAAACGTACTCGTCAAAAACTTTGAGCTTAGTGCTCTTATCAACTAGCGGTATAGGTGTGACATGAATATTAGACATGATCTTTGTTTTGTCTATGTTCATCTTAAGACATATCTGTCGGGAGACACTATTGAGATAATTGAGCATAGTGCTAAGGTCCTCCAACGATTCTGCCATAAGGACTATATCGTCGGCAAATCGAAGGTGAGTTATATACCCGCCATTGATGTTAATACTATATCCTTTCCAGTTCAGTAGTTTGAAAATGTCTTCCAAAACAGCGGTGAAGAGTTTTGGGGATATGACGTCACCCTGCCTTACATCTCTCTGCAGTTGAATAGGTTTTTTTAAAGTATAAGGGTGGCAAACGAGTACACAGTCAATACGATGGTAAGTGGTTGATGTGGCTCATAGACATCTACATGTACGTGTCAAAATGCAGATGCTTTATCACCCGTGTAGACTATAATGAAATGGCTCGTTTCCATTAAAAATGGTGTCCGGTTATCTACACTCACGAAACGAAACACAGCAGCGTTAATCTGCTATTTGAAGCTGGTATTCTGTGAGAGCGTGGTACTTCCCCAGGCGAGCCCCAAATATATCAGCATGCTACAAATATACCAGTAATAAAGCTGCAGCATGGCTCTACCACGTAATGAGTACGAGTACGAGTCAAAACACGCTAGCGATGAGGCGAAGTTCTTCGGCCAACTACTGGCACAGGTATATGAAAGTTACATATTACAATATTTTTTGCCTGTGCACTAGTTGTATAATAAAAGTGTGTCAACTAAGCTTGGAAAAAAAGTGGGCGACGCACCGACAGTGCGTATACTTATAAGAATAATTTTGAGCAACTTATAATTAAAAAAAAACAGTAATTAAAATAAAAAAAAAACATTTATACTTAATGATACCGCACCCAATGTTCCACTGATTTAAAAGAAAATTTATGTATTTAATACGATCTTTGGCATTGAATTCAAAACTTGAATGTTTTGTATTGATATAACGGTGGTGGTGGTAGTGATGGTGCTGGTTTTATATTAAGCTGATGATATTTAACACTTGTTTAAAATTAGTCTTGGGAGAGTTCATGTAAACATTGCTGGATGCCAACAAGCGGCTCCACCTTAAGAGAGTATAAAAACTCTACCTGTTTCTCATTGAAAGACGCAAGAAACATAAGCTGACTTCCATTTCTACCGATGGCAAGGCGCGCTCTTTTTCGAGTTCATGCAGGGGCCATAGGGTCCTAGGAAGCTTGCTGCAAAGGGAAGGAACTGTGCAATACCAACACTCATTCGCAAGTACTAACGCTCAAAAATTTTCTTTGTTCAGTCAGGAGACTTGTAAATAATTTCTTACATTATTTTTCATTATTTACATACACTTACACTAACAGTCACTGTGTAAATACTTCTGATTTGTTGAAACTAGATACTACAAAGTAATATTATTCGTTTCCAAGTTGTTACCGCTTTAATTAATTTACTTTGCATCTTGCCCGCTGAGGAAAATATGAAATGTAATTAAATTCTTCTCTGAAACATTGTACAGGGTATCTTGATGGACCTGGGTTCTTATCGAAATTTGTTTTGATGATATTACTTCATAATTTAGATTAGAGCATAATATTTAACTGAAACACCTTCTGCCACCAGGGAGGCGCCAAGTGGGAATGACGTGAAATATTTGACAGATTTCATCGCGGAGGAAGCTAATTTGTTATGAAAGTGTACAAATGTATTTTATATTATAATTAATATAAAAAAAAAACTTTTTTTATATTTATTTCTAATCTAATGATTAGAAAAAAATATACCATACACCATACTACGGATTTTCTTAAAAAGAGAATTTAAAAAAATGTGTAAAAAATAAAATTATACAGCACATATTTGGTGTATATGCATACACTAAAAACTAAAATATTTACAGTTTACCACATAAAGATAAAATATCGTGCAAGTTGCCGAATTTCTTCTCTACAAACGGACGTTTTAGTACTAGATGGGACGAAATACTATCACTTAATATTTAAATTCAGTATCTATTACACAACAGAATTGGTATTTACTGGGCTGTGTGAAATTATACTACGGGATATATTATATACGGGATATTATATACGGGAGTAATGGGGTAGGACCCGAAGCGAAAGGTCGATCTGTTATGTCGTCCTCAAAACATTAAATGAAAACAGTGTAAAAAGTGCACTAAATATCAAAATGTCATTATTTACGTGCATAAATAGTGGTGAGACTCTTTAGTGGTGTGGCAGTGGCTAAAAACTTTGTTTCAATACTAGATTTTGATCAAAAACTGAACGAAAAGTGATTTTGTTTTCTTTTGCAAATGAAGGTGAATGTTAATAACTTCTCGCAAAACAAAACAAATAACGAGTGTCTCTAGTACCTCAAATGAATTTAGTCCGGAATATAACACTTAAATTCACCATTCATCAAACAAGCCAGCTAGCCTAGTGGTGAGTGCGACGCGTTACAACCAAAAAGACGTGGGATCAAATCCACGATATAATTCGACTTCTTTTTGTATGTTTCTTTAAGACAGCCTTTAATAACTTACAAAGAATAAACCTAAAGAAACAGAAAAGCAGTAGCACCAAATCCTTATTATAGGAATATAAATAGATTGTAGGAAAGTAAGCAAATTTAAGATGAATACAAGCTATAGCAACATAACATTCAGACGCATGCGGCGTTATAATTCCGAAAATGATGTAGCATGCTTGGAGGGCTCAATAACCAATGATTCAGTTATTATGTACGGTAATAGTTTAAGGAGCCTTCCAGACGTATCTATACACAATAGCTCAAGGATGATTGAATTAGAAATGCAAATTGAACAACTAAAACAAACTCTTCAAGCTGCTAATACAGAAGTAGATAATTTGATATTGCAGAACAATGACTTGCAAAGGGAACTAGAAAACTGCCAGATGGTGATTAAATCACTAAGAGCTATACAAACTTTAGGACCTGAAAAAATACGCGGTATGTCACCCAAGCCAGCTAGCAGTTTAAACAAAACACAACTTTTCAATAAAATTCAAAAAAACGCAGTAACTCAAACCGATGATAATCCGAGCTCACAAAATATTAAAATAAAAAGGAATAAAAAGAATTAAATTGCTATTAAAACCTAAAATTAAATATGCAACTAAAAACCTCTTAAAAAAATTAAAATACAAAATAAGAGGGTTCGAAAATTACAGAAAGAACTGAAAAACTTAAAGATAGAGAAGAATAGAATACAACATAAATTATTAGAATTGGAAACACTTACTAAACTAAAAATATCAACGAAAGTCCAGAAAAAACAAGAAATAATACATAAGCAGGAAAACTACTCTTCAAAGCTGCAAGGAAAAGGAAATAAAATAGAAAAATCAGAAAGAGACAGGGCACAAAGCGGAAAAAGAAAAGAGAACACAAAAACACTGACAAGAATAGAAATGTTTTAGGACAGAATAGGGAGTGGACTAGCAATCAAATTAATGCAACAATTGGAAAATACAAAAATAACAAATTACTGTCAAACAGGGGGAAATCATAAACAAATATTGAAGCACTTTGATTTATATACCAAAGATTTGAAAGAAAATGACTTAGCGGTAATACTAATAGGAAACTACGACATTAAAATGGGGACATCATATGTGGATGAAATTCGAAGAATTGTGAGCAAAGAAAATAGAAAATTCAACATTTTGTTAGGAAGTATAATATACGACAACATAAATGATGATAAAATCTTTACTATTAATAAAAACTCTTTAATCTAGCTGCGGTATCTGAGAATGTCAGATATCTTGAAATAAATGTAAAAGTCAAGGTAAATGTAAAAAATATAGTGATTGAGGAAACTGTTAAAAGTATCAAAGATAGTCACTTTAATGCTTCGTCTTGTTTGCACTTTATCAAATTAAATTCTAATTTAAATTTTTCACTAAATTTTTTAGACACAACCAAGACTCCATTAACTGGTTAACGATTGTGCATGCTAATATTCAGAGTATTAATAATAAATATTTAGAGCTAAAATTATTAACAGAAAATACAACTTGTGATGTGCTTTGTCTAACAGAGACTTGGACCAATGAATTGAAATTAGGCGTAATGACTATTGAAGGCTTTATACTTGTATCATATTACAATAGGATGCTATTTGAACATGGAGGTACAGCTATTTTTGTTAGACACTCACTTGAATATAAAGTAAGACATGACATTGTAAAGTTGAGTATTGAAATGAATTGTGAACTAGCGGCAATTGAAGTAAAATCGTCTAAATTAGTTATTATTTGTGTATATAGACCTGATTATGATTATTTAATATTCGAAGATATTATGACTAAAGTTATCGAAAAAATAGGTAGGGTAAACAAAAGAATTGTAATTGCAGGAGATTTTAATTTAAACCTATTGAAACCAAATAATAAAGTATCCAAATTTTTAAAACTATTGAGTGAATTAAAATGTAAATTCGTCTTAAATGAGCCAACCCGAACCAAAGGGAAGTCTTCCACATGTATTGATAATTTCATTTTAAATGACGATGATGATTTTCAGTATCACAGGGGTAAAATATTAGACGTAAAGTTATCAGATCATAACGTCATAGAATTAAAGTATAAATTGAATTCTAAGTATCCTAAACCAAAGGAGAAGACTGAGGTTAGATCTAGAATAATATCTCAGGAAAATATAAAATATTTTCATTACTTGTTCTGTAAAGACTTTGAATGTGTAAGAAAGGATGTAAATTTGAAACTTGACGCAAATGAGAAAATGAACATTCTTATAGACTATATACAATATTGTTATTACACTGCATTTCCATTAAAAACAATAAAACCTATAAAAAATAAGAATAAACTAACAACCAAGGGTATTTTGATATCTAGAAATAATCTTCAAAAACTCGAAATATTGCATAACTTGTATCCAGATAAAATTAGAAAATCCAATCTAAATAGATATAAGAGAATATATAGAAAAGTACTACAAACAGCCCAAAAACTTAGGAACGCGTCTAGAATTAAAAATTCCACGAATAAAATTAAAACTACTTGGACTATTATTAAGGAACAAAAAAATCATGTTAAAACACAAAGAATAAATAAAATTACTAAAATTAAAAATCACTATGGGGACATAATTACAAATAATAAAAATATGGCAAACAGTTTCAATGAGTTCTTTTGCAATATAGCTGGTAAACTTACGGAAAATTTAGAGGTTAAGGTTGAAAAATGTAGCAAATATTTAAAAAAACCCAACAAATAATAAAATTCGCTTTCATAAAATAAATAATTCTGAATTTTGGAATATTATTCATAGTTTAAAATGTAAAACGTCTAGAGACATATACGATATGTCAACAAAAACTATTAGAGAACTTATCATCCAACAACAAAGACATGTTTGATATAATATTGGAAGTCTTGAATGATTGCATTATAGAAGGAATTTTCCCAGATAGCTTAAAAAATAGGAAAAATTGTGCCACAGTTCAAAAAAAGGACAAACTATTGAAATTGGTAATTACAGACCGGTGTGTATATTACCAGTTATATCAAAGATTTTAGAAACTGTCTTAAAATCTAGGATATTAGACTACTTTGAAAAAAATAATCTATTTACAGACTGTCAATTCGGTTTTCGCAAAAAAAGATCAACGGAAATGGCTATTAGAAAAACAGTATACTTTATATTGGACGCGTTGGATGGATCGCAGAAGGTATCTAGCATTTTTTGCGATTTATCTAAGGCGTTCGATTGTCTGAGGCATGATATCTTAATTTATAAATTAAAATTCTACGGATTTGAAGGAAAAGAATTGAAAATAATGCATTCTTATCTTAACAATCGAACGCAAATAGTTAATTTAAATAATACTAACTCTGATTCACAACATAGTTACATTGGCGTTCCGCAGGGCTCTATCCTGGGACCATTGCTGTTTTTAGTGTATGTGAACGACCTTGCAAATAATTTACCTGACTGGGCGATGGTTACACTATTCGCGGATGATACACAGGTTGGTGTTAAAGATAAAAATGCAGTCCAAGTATCCAAGAAGACAAATGATATTTTAAATATGCTTAAAAATTGGTTTGAAACAAACGGAATAATTTTGAATGCAGAAAAAAGTATCATTATTAATTATGCAAGCAAAAAAAAAACAAATAAAGTCACAAAAAGTGACGTTACATTTTTAGGGTGTACTTTCGATTCCACTTTAAGTTATGAAACCCATATAGATAACGTCTGTAAAAAGTTAGCCAGTGGTAATTACGCTTTATTGAAGCTTAAGCCCATTATTGACAAGAAAACTCTTATATCCGTCTACTTTGCATATTGTCACTCAATTATTAGCTACGCGATTACGATATGGGGAAATGCTACACAATTTGAAAGAGTACTGATTTGTCAAAAAAGGTCGATTAGAATTATACATGGATTGCAAAGATCGACATCAACTAGAGCCTATTTCCAAAAAGCGAAAATTATGACTGTCGTTTCGTTATATATTTATAGATCGCTTCTAGAAGTACACCAGGAAAAAAGTAAACTACCAATGAAGAAGCACGTACATAACTACAATTCTAGAAATCGCGAAAGATTAGTTGTTCCAAGAACCAGATTAGTCAAAGTGTTCAAGCAAGGTTTTGCAATAAAAATTATAATGTACAATAAATTGCCAATAGAAATAACAAGACTTCCGCTAAATGCGTTCCGACAAGTGATAAAAACATTCTTTTTAAATCACGCTTTTTACAACATAGAAGAATATATGCAATGTTCATTTTTTGACTTGTTTGACACATAAAATAATGTACTGTAAATGAGATGTATCTTAATTATATTATTGTAATTGTATAATTTGTAATTTTAACTATATTATTGTATCTATATAATTGTAATTGTAATTTTGACGTACCAATGTTACGTAATGTAACGTAATGGCAAATAAATAAATAAATAAAATAAATAAATAAATACTCGCATGGATGCAATTTTTAATGGGCGAGTGGTGAGAAATGTTCAATTAAAAGCGAAGCGGTCATCACGTTACTTTAGGTTTGTAATCTAAGCGGTCATCACGTTAGTTTAGGTTTGTCTGATGCAAATTGACTAAAAGACACGTTCCGTACTGTGTGCTCAATATTTATTACACGTCTAAAATAGTTCATAATTTAAAAAAAAAGTTGCATTTAGATTTTTGTCACAATTTTATTGAAACAGTTGCCACAGTCGTTTTAGTTTTATATCTATACAAATTAATAAAATTAAAGTTTCGGCTCACAATGTCAAAGTAAAGGATTTTTACTTAATATATATGTAAGTATATGCGGTACTAATAATAAAAAAGTTTTTAAAATTTTTGTCTATGTATGTAGATTCAAGATCATCTCTATCATGTACTATATAATATAATTATATATATATATATATATATATATATATATATATATATATATATATATAAAATATATAATGATATATTGCATTCTTATTTATTAACCTATCTCCGATAGCTTCAAAACATATTATTCACAATTTCTATTATGCAAATCGTAAGTAAACATGATTTCGGGAAAGTGAACGTTCATTCTTCCTAAAAGTCATCTCATTGTTAAGAGACTGTTCTCATTATCATCATACTGTAATGTCTAGCCGTGTGTAATATATGGAGGATTTACAGGACATAGACATTTAGAGGACAATTGATAAGCAGCGTGAGGAAATGTTTGATCCATAACTCCCTGAAAAATGAAAAGTTGGTTGTAGTACTTGATCGTATATTTAAACTAGCCATTTGGGTCTTGACAACAGTGTCACATACAGGGTTTAATTGTGTATTTAAACCATCCTGGGATCTTCTTACACACAGAAAAAATATATTATCAAAACCAGTCTAGCCAATTTCGAGTTTTAGCAAGATTAACGGTCATAAATTGATTTATATATATAGAGATACGAGTATATAATATAATGCATAAAAATAGACGCAATATCAAAAATTGTTTTATTATAATTCATAGGCGTTTTCCATACATTATAGCCAATAAAATATTTAAAAAGGATCGTTTAATTATATTTACAATAGGTGATAGCTTCATGTGGAAATCATGCTAAATCCAAGATCCGAAAGTTAAGGATAATTTAATATGGAACCAACGTTTTTTCCCCTAAAGACCGACAGTCACCGAGTCTTGCTCAACAAATTGATAAGATTTACGATGTCCCGAGAAGTTAACCGTCGCAATCTAATTTACACCGATTCTGCCCGTGTTTAGTAGTTACAAGTAAATTTTTCTGCTTTCACCGTTTATATTTATTATCTACGAGTAGTATTTTACGAGAGGGTACGTTTTAAGTTATTTCTTATCCTCCGTCAGGGATTTTTTTTAAAACGAGTGCAGAGCTTATGTGTCTACTATATTTTAAGATTCTGAATGGATTTTCTAAATAGCTCACTTCCCTAAGATTACTAGTAATGCGGTGTATCAATGTTTTCAAGTAGTTTTGAGGAAATATAGAACAAATGTAAGACTTTTTTAAATTAAAATCAACTTGATATCAAATATGTATTTTATGTCTTTAAAATGTACCTAATTATATTTTTAAGTAATTATGTACGCCGCAAAATTATTCTTTAATAGGATTATTACTCATATTACTATTCCTTTCTTGATTTTAATTTTTTACAGTTTAATATCCATCATATATCTTACAAATTACAAATAGCATATGTTACTATAAATATTATACTATACATAGATCGAATAGTTGTTGACTACCTTGTTTCAATTGTTAAATTTAAATCAAAAAAGGTAATGAATCTGGTTTCTGATGAAGTTAATGCTGTTAGCCTTTTGGTTTTTACAGCTTCATAGGTCTCAGGGCCCTTTAAAAAGTGAATTTAAATCGTTCCGATGACGATTGCAACGATGACTTCTATGACGGTGTACAGTGCCCATGGATGAATTGAATTAGAGTGGACGTGGATAAGTTAAATTACTGTGCACTTGGAGATGAATCTGGGGGAGGACATTGTAACCCTGGAATCTGGCAACTTCTTCCATTGCCGGAAGGGCGACCATCTGTAAAAAGGAGGTGTCAAATTCATCGTTATTAAAATTGCAAATGTTGTAAGTGTGTCGCCAAGAGTAGCGTACTTTATACTCAGAATCACAAAACGGTATTCGTTGAAGGTCATACAGACTTTAGCACCAACCTCATCACATCCCAATGAGGAGCGGAAGGAAAAAAGGGCTAGAGGAGGAATGGAATATGGGCAAAGAGTAACATTATTTGTCATGTTCTACTTAACTGAGATCTTAAATTGTTTTTGTATGATTAAATTTCTATTTTGTTGGGTAGTGGGTTAAGAAAACTTCACGATCCATGTTTTTCACGAAAGTGTTACGTGTTGCAATGATAGGCAGGTACCGAAATCTGTAAATGTAAATAAAATTTAAGTGCCCCTATTAAATATAAAAATAACTGCTTTTTATTGAGCTGCATGCAGCATGCATTAAAAATGACAATTTTAAAAATTGTGAGCGTCTGTCTGGGCTAACCATCATAGTGACTGAACCAATTTTAATGAAACTTTACAAACGGATACACGTAAAAGATAATGCCGAGAGTGAACTTAGCTACATTTTGTCCAAAAAAAAACATAAGTTTTTTTAAGAGGTTTTTAAGAGTTTTCTTTTGAATTTAAAAATAGATAAGGTAAAATCAATGGTCTTTGACGATTACCTTACATCTAAATAACGCCACATTAATGGGATCTATTATTATCCCAGACGAAGCCGGGCTAGTGTATGAATAAATGCAACAAATAAATACAGCATTTAAAACAAAAGACAATGGGTCCGATTGCGTTTCTTTGGCGCACTTAAATAACGCCGAATAACAGACTTAAATTAGTCTAAAATTCGTACTAATATTATTGCTATTGCGTTTGTTAATTAATTACGTCCACAACACTATTTAGGTCCAATTCGGACTTAAATTATGTCTACGCATGTCTTTTGCTATTCCGTTTCTGACAATTTGACAGTTCGTTGGCTTTAAATGAACTTATACGTCTAGGAAATGGGTCCGATTGCGTTTCTCTTCGAACCTAAATAATGACAGACTAAAATTTTACTAAATATGTCCATGTCCTTAACCTAAAGCTATTACGTTTCTGTTAAAATAAGTTCACGTCACTAAATTTGAACTTAATTCTACGTCTATGGAAATGGACATAATTACGTTCGTTTGCCGCCGCAAATGGCAACACCACACCACTAGTCTGTCAAGTTGTCAAGTCTGTCGTGGTTATTTTTTGTGTGAGTTTTCGCAAGAATTATTGAAATTTTAATAAATATGGATACAAAGAAGCCAAGAATGAAGAAAGAACAGCAACAATATTTATTAAACTTCTTGATGAGGAATCCGGAAACGGTTAACGGTATGTTTACAAAATATTTCATGTGAATTTTTGTTTTAGTAGTGTAAATTGTTATATTTTAATCTATCGATTTACCCTACTCATCCATCCATCTATTTACAGAATAGCAAGTTCATTTTAAATTTGATCATAATCATATAATTGCACTCTAACTTATCCTATCTACAAGCATTCCTGTGTAAATTCAGTTTGGTAGCCATATCGCATTGCAACGTTTGTTATTACATTTACAATCATTTATTCACGTTAAATTATAACATAACATATAATATAAATAATTGGCATCCAATAAAACATGATGTTTTCATACTTACCTATACTTCATTTGTCTTTATTTATCAACAGGAAATTGTCAGTTGCCGGCTACCAAAAGTTTGTGGACTGAACTGACAGAAGCCCTCAATGGAATGGGAGGTGTTCGTAAGACACAGAAAGATTGGTTAGAGGTTAGTTAGTGGTGCTTCATACATTAAATTGTCCTAATTTTGTACTAAATATATCAGTGAACTTTTAAAATTTAAATCATAACCAACCTACTTTACCCACTTGGATATTAGTTGTTGTTAAATGTATAATCTAAATTTTTCAGACATACAAGTTATTAGCACGCAGGGCGAAGGCTAAGATGCGCACACAGCGTGCATCTATGCAAAGGACTGGAGGTGGTCCTCCAGCAGATATCTGTTTGACAGAACTGGAGAAAAAAACAATAAATATAGAGGGGACATCAACTATATATGGATTGCCTGGAGCTGTGGAAGCTGTAAGTTATTGGCGTTAGTTTTTTGTAAGCTCTATATTAGATTTACTTATTTTTTTATGATTGCATCAATCATCACAATTATGTTAATTTTGAAAACTACATACATTACATAGCATTAATATTATAAATATGTACTTTTATAATATGTACGGAAAACCTTGATCCTTGACTTGTAAATTTCTTACAGGGTATTATTATTGTCCCAGGGACTCCACAGCCCATTGTTGATATTCCGGATCCTTATGTTAAACAAAACATAGTCATGGTGAGTGTGTTATGGCAATGCTTGTAGCAGTCGTGATATTTATTACCAGTAATGGTCTGATGTTAAGTTGATTTTATTTTGACTACAGGTTTTGGATGATACTCAACTGCCATAGCCCAAGCAGACGTTGATTTTAGACGCAGTACCAGTTGTGAGTATATTTTTTGAGCTTACGTACGGACTAAATAAGCGCGAACTTATTTAGTCCGTACGTAAGCTAAGTTTCTTCAGAAAATAGTGAAAAATGTTTCCTTATGGCTGGGCTATCATTCAAAGAAGACACAATAAAGAACGCCAACGGTATGAGTACGAAATTTATATTATAGAAACTGCTTTTCTTGCATACGGTAGGTATAAGCATAACATACCCTAACTTTTTTCGTTGTAGGGCTGCGAGAAGGATAGCGCATCGCCATATTCGGGACCATTCCAACCCTTTCGACGTGCCTGCAGAGGTTTTTACCAAATTATACAGGCTCTCCTAAAGAACTGCGCATTTTTTAGTGGAGTGTCTTCACCAGAATTTTAATCGACAAAGGCAGCACGGAATTCCTGTACATATCAAAGTTTTGTCTTCACTCCATTTCTTTGGACATGGCGGCTACCAAACAACGGTTGGGCAGGGGCAGTATTTAGGTTTAAGTCAGCCATCGTAAGCAAATGCTTACAAGAAGTTGCTGATGCAATTATAACTGTTTTATTGAACGGTATGGTGCTATTTCCTGAGACTGAAGAGGAAAGCGCAGAAAATAAACGGAGGTTTTTACAGATAGCTGGGTTTCCTTCAGTCTTGGGTTTGATAGACTGTAGTCAAATCTCCATTGTTCGCCCAAAAGCCACAGCACTTGTGCCAGCGAGATTATTTTTTAATCTCAAAGGCTTTTATAGTCTTAATTGCCAATTTGTATGTAATGCAAAGATAGAAATAATTCATTTCAATGCCACTTTTCCTGGATCAACACATGATGCAGCGGTTTGGCAAGGATCCAGTTTGAGCCAATTATTGGAAACCAATTATGTTAACGGAGTTTCAGCTGGTGAATGGCTTCTAGGAGACTCTGGATATGCCCAACTGCCTTGGCTGATGACCCCGTATGCTGATGCGGATGAAAATACACCTGAGGCTAGATAAAATTTAGCGCATACCAAAACGAGGGTTCTTATTGAAAAATTTAGATACAACCAGTTGCATTATGACCCCAAGAAGGCATCTAAAATAATAGCAGCTGTAGTTGTTCTCCATAACGTGGCAATTAAGAGAAATGAACCTTTACTAGATGAATTGGAACTCGAAGAGAGATTGCGGCCAGCAGATGATCCTCCCAGGGATATGAATTTTTTAAATGTGGCAAGAAATATTCGAAATAACATCACAAGACAATACTTTGCATGATGTGTTTTAATTAAAGATTTAAATTAAAGAATTAATAATAAAACTACTAAATATAAAACTTAATTTCGAAAAAATAGTTTATTTATTTTTATTGATTGCTTCGACGAACATGGTAGCGGCACGCATTATGCAATCGCCAAGATACCGAGCGGCCTCTGTCTGCGCATTGGCGAGCGCCATCTGCGCTTGGGCTCCCTCCCTTAAAGCCGCTATCATGGCATCTTCTTGCGGGGTGGCTGAATCGGCTGGCGGCACGAGCGTACGGGGCGTTGCTCGACGCACGTTGCGGCGCTCGAGGCGCGGAGTGCTGCGCACCACGCCGCGCCGTCCCCCAGTCTCTGTTCAGGGGTTGAGGCCACGATGTGTTCACGACTGCAACTGATCGTCGCCAGATCCCTATTTGCCGCTGGCATCATCAACGCGTCTACCGCAATTCGACCAACGCGAGATGCTGTCGGTATTGATGACGCGTCCGTCGCCATTGAAGTGACGACAGTCGCCCCATCGTGACTCGCCGTCGGTGTCAACGCGTCCACCATAGCCGCTTCCTTCGGGGGCTCTTCTTCAGTGTCTGAATGTATATCCTGCATAGTACAATTACAAGGATAAATTCATACAATTGTACCACTATGAAGTCAATTTCATAATACCATTATGAATAAAACTCTTTTTAACATGACTTCAGTATTTATTACTCATACCATTAATAATGCGGTTATTCTATAATTACCAAAATTGACCATAACGCTTAATGAAAACTACATCAAAATCTAATCAGTAGAACTCAAGTCATAATAAGGGCACTGTTTAAACTTATTTATAAAACTAACAAATCTTATTTATATGTATATAATAATGTTGTTGTGAATAGGTAAAATATACTCACAACTGGTACTGCGTCTAAAATCAACGTCTGCTTGGGCTTTGGCAGTTGAGTATCATCCAAAACCTGTAGTCAAAATAAAATCAACCAAACATCAGACCATTACTGGTAATAAATATCACGACTGCTACAAGCATTGCCATAACACACTCACCATGACTATGTTTTGTTTAACATAAGGATCCGGAACATCAACAATGGGCTGTGGAGTCCCTGGGACAATAATAATACCCTGTAAGAAATGTACAAGTCAAGGATCAAGGTTTTCCGTACATATTATAAAAGGACATCTTTATAATATTAATGCTATGTAATGTATGTAGTTTTCAAAATTAACACAATTGTGATGATTGATGAAATCATGAAAAAATAAGTAAATCTAATATAGAGCTTACAAAAAACTAATGCCAATAACTTACAGCTGCCACAGCTCCAGGCAATCCATATATAGTTGATGTCCCCTCTATATTTATTGTTTTTTTCTCCAGTTCTGTCAAGCAGATATCTGCTGGAGGACCACCTTCAGTCCTTTGCATAGATGCACGCTGTGTGCGCATCTTAGCCTTCGCCCTGCGTGCTAATAACTTGTATGTCCGAAAAATTTAGATTATACATTTAACAACTAATATCCAAGTGGATAAAGTAGGTTGGTTATGATTTAAATTTTAAAAGTTCACTGATATATTTAGTACAAAATTAGGACAATTTAATGTATGAAGCACCACTAACTAACCTCTAACCAATTTTTCTGTGTCTTACGAACACCTCCCATTCCATTGAGGGCTTCTGTCAGTTCAGTCCACAATCTTTTGGTAGCCGGCAACTTACAATTTCCTGTTGATAAATAAAGACAAATGAAGTATAGGTAAGTATGAAAACATCATGTTTTATTGGATGCCAATTATTTATATTATATGTTATGTTATAATTTAACGTGAATAAATGATTGTAAATGTAATAACAAACGTTGCAATGCGATATGACTACCAAACTGAATTTACACAGGAATGCTTGTAGATAGGATAAGTTAGAGTGCAATTATATGATTATGATCAAATTTAAAATGAACTTGCTATTCTGTAAATAGATGGATGGATGAGTAGGGTAAATTGATAGATTAAAATATAACAATTTACACTACTAAAACAAAAATTCACATGAAATATTTTGTAAACATACCGTTAACCGTTTCCGGATTCCTCATCAAGAAGTTTAATAAATATTGTTGCTGTTCTTTCTTCATTCTTGGCTTCTTTGTATCCATATTTATTAAAATTTCAATAATTCTTGCGAAAACTTACACAAAAAATAACCACGACAGATTTGACAACTTGACAGACTAGTGGTGTGGTGTTGCCATTTGCGGCGGCAAACGAACGTAATTATGTCCATTTCCATAGACGTAGAATTAAGTTCAAATTTAGTGACGTGAACTTATTTTAACAGAAACGTAATAGCTTTAGGTTAAGGACATGGACATATTTAGTAAAATTTTAGTCTGTCATTATTTAGGTTCGAAGAGAAACGCAATCGGACCCAATGTTGACTGAATATAACTGTTAGGAAAGTTCCCTGGCTTCTGATACTCATACTATTTTAGCAATACTGATATTTTAAAATTATCAATAGACCCTTGAATCTGTTGATTCTGCTATAAATTCCATTTTATTTAAATAATTATTTTTGTTATTTAGTAAAAGAAATTATAATATTGCTTTAAGAGTACCCCAGTTTTTTCTGCTGGTTCTATGATAAAGTCTCGATTTTGTGAACTGGTGTAGATTCTGGTGTTCATAAGAGCTTTTAACAAGCGTAAACTGTATAAAAAGTTTTGACTTTAACAGAGATTCTCTTACTTCTGAGACAAGTTTTAACTAAATTGACCGTCGCTTTATTCTGTGTATGCAGAGTACGCATCGGCGACCTACATATTATATCTTCAATTTTTCTTCTGTACAAAACTCAAAAATTATTAACTAATATATAATATATATATATATATATATATATATATATATATATATATATATATATATATATTTTAGTCCACTATATTCTTAAGCTTGGATAAAATTGTATTACTTATACGATTTAATTTATAATTTAATTAAACCGTCGGTGCTGGTCAAATTCATTTTGCTCGCGTACTTCATCAAAGGCATCGCGTTTAATCTCTAAGATAACAGCAAAATAAAATTTAATCCTCGTAATGTCGTAAATAAATATGAGTGCAATAAAATTAAATAAATATAAGGCCTTAGTAGCTCCGGGGCTAAGCACTTGCCGTTATTTACACAATACGCGAGTGACCCGAATTCAACGAAATTGTTAATGTGTTGTTAAATTGGTGAAGGAAAACATTATCAGGAAACTTGCATGAATGAGAAATAGAATGACAATACGTAACGTAGCAATATAGTGGGCTAGTTGTATTAACACCGTAATACTGTCAGAAATAATAAAAGGCCTGTGCCCAGTTTACCTGCATCACCTACGCTCTTGGGATTCGCAAAAATAAATGTATTATATTTTTATACTTTAGTTTTATATACAGTTAAGAAAGTAGATGTTTGGATAAAAATATATTATAGGTACATTTTGTTGTCTGACCAAACTGACCTCTGTGAATTACTTCGATACTAAGACTACCTGAATAACGTCGGGCGGTGTCCATCAGTTTTAGCGCTGCTACTCGTATAACTTGAGTTTGAATAAAGGATTAATTTCGGCATGCTCACACTTCTTAGTAATATGAGTAATAATCCTAAATATTGCTTTGTGTACCTTTATAGGAGATTTTTTTTAAATATTAGAGAGGCAAATGAGCATGTGACTCATATATGACCAGCGCCATATATGAATAGGAGCAACACTAGGAAATTGAAATTGGAAGTGTTGTTGTTGTGTTGTTAGGCGATAAAATGAAACAAACTAGGAAATCGGCTGCAAATCCTAATAATAACTGCAAAATAATAACAACTATAAAATTAAACTTTTTATGGGATAAGGGTGAGAAATAACCACACAGTCCACCTGATAGTAAAGGTAAGTAGTTGCTGCGGCCCATGAACATCTAAATCTACCCTCGACTACGAAGCAAAATGTAGATTTGTTGTCCCCCGTAAGGACTAAGATGGAATGCCTCGTTTTCAGTTAAAGGAATCTCCGGTTCCCTACACTCATCATACGAAACACAGCAGCGTTTATGTGCTATTTTACGCTAGTGTTCTGTAATAGTGTGGTCCTACCTCGGTCGAGCCGATCCATTCGTACTACAACGATAATAAGTATAGCTGCAGCGTGGCTCTACCACGTAAAACTTAAGCAAATATCCCTTTGTGTGAAAATATATGGGGAGATCTATCTTTAAAGGTGGACTAGACGTTTCGGGTGCTTCCCAGCACCCATAGTCATGGGGGACTGAGATGACTGATGTCCCAGTATCATTTTTAAACCAGAAGTACCTTCAGATTTTTTTCAACTTTTTTAAATTATTGTTTATGGTCCGATCTATGCAAAATGAACTGACTGTGTGAAGTTTTGCAGAGGTATGCTTGGGTTTAGTTTTAATTTTATTGATTATAGGGTCTCAAGCAGGTGGTAGTACCTAGCCTCCTTCTCTATTGAATTTAGGATGATTTTTTAATGTCAATATAGCCTCACGTTTCCTACCAAGGATTATCCTTGGTAGGAATCGATGTTCTTTCGCGAGGATTTTTTGCTCTAACAAACTACATACTTCCCGGAATGTTGATGCTTCACATCAGCTAAATGTTCTTTTACGTGGGTTCTAATTGATCTTTTTGTTTGCCATATATAAGAGAGATAATATAATTCAAATTAAATGCAATAAAATTCGTTAAAAAAATGTAATTAAATTTAAGAAATCTTTATTTTTTTTAATAAAATTTTTGTTTTTATTATTTTATTACCGAAAGTTTATTTCAAATTAGTGGCATTTATTGATAGTTCAATTTCATAATATTTTAATGTAAAATGCAAAAAAATTGTAAAATATCAGTGTCATAGGCTTCTATTCAGTTTACCTGTTATACCCTATTTTGCCAGACGGTAAAAAATCATCCAGTATATGTGAAACAAATTTGTAAAAAATCTTTTAATCCTTTGATTTCTATATTTTCAAAGTTCTTCATCACATGGCATTATATTGATATGCTTTAATTAATCTAACCGGTGTAGGAATATCCACTGTTTCTTATCTATCTTTAAAGGTGGAATAGGCTGTAATAAATGAATGAATAATGTAGATTATAAAATATCAACTATCATGTTCGAGACTTTGCAAAAATGTATCGGAAACAATGCAAATTCTTCTACTTTTGAAATCTTTTCTACGTACTACGTATGGGAGAGTACTGGCAACAAAAATCCTAAAAGAATCCTGAAAATTCTTTTATCTTCATCTACATTAAGATAAACGTTACGCCCACTAGGAGTTTATCCATTACTGTGGACGCGTTTCATATACGTAAATAACATATGGATAAACAGCTAGACCCACGCTATTTTTTGTAAGCCGTACAATTACTCACCCTCTAGGAGGTTTGAAGTCACAACTCTTAGTTTATATTATATTTCTCACAAATCGCTTTACCGATTTGCATGAAAAAATTATTAAGATATAAATTTACTTTCAAAAATTTAAACATATAGCCCAGACACCGTAGTTTATTTCAGTGAAAGTGTTACCATCCATTAAATTCGTAGGGGTTACACTTCTAGTAATTTCACATTAAATTTATTTAAATCTATCTGCTATAAGTTGCACGTTCCAAAATTCAACAATTACTTTAAATGCCGCTTAACGTACTTGTTCCGTAACACAGTTAAGCAAAGTTGAAGATGTTTCAAGAAGAAGAAAATATTTGAAAAGCGCACCTGCAGGTGTCGACGGGTATTTCTCGCAGCACATGTGAGAACTTTATTTATTCCTCCAATCTGAAAACTTAATGTAATTAGCAGTATTTTGTAAGCGAATGGAATTCATTTATTTTCTATTTAATTTAAACGGTGAAACAATTACTTTAATAAATAAACTCACAGAACTTCAGATATAAGAGCCATGGTAGTTCAGGGGATTAAAGCTCGCTGTAAATTTCACAATACGCGAGCAGCCAGGTTCAATCCCCGCCGGCACTAAGGAAATTATTGATTGCAATTTGAAGTATTGATTTACCACGTGCTCGGCTGTGAAGAAAAACATCGAGAGGAAACCTGCATATCTGAGAAATAATTCCAACAATATTACCGTCCATTTATTCGCAAACCGGTTACATTTAGGGTTTGTATTTTTTATAGAATAAATGGTGACAATTGAGCACACATTCCAACGTGAAGTAGACGTTAGACATCTACATTTATTCTTAAATAATATTATAGATATTGGTATAAAAATCCCACCCAGTCGCATGCGCCCGGCAAATCGCGAGCAGTCGCATGCGACCGCACCCACTCACAGCACTTAAAACCACTAAAACTTATATTTAGAGACTACTTTTCTATGAAGAAGTTTAGCATTATAAAATCTATACAAAACTTTCTATTTTTTGATCTAAACAAAACTCTGGTTTTACTTCATTACAAAAAGATTTTATTGCAATTTGATAACAAAAAAAAAATACCAAGGGAATGTCGGAGCGTGAAAATCACAATTACGAGTATTTCAATATATATTACTCGAAATGATTTACTTAAAAAAATAAATTATATTCACATAAAAACAAACAGAGAATATTCATTAAATCCCTCGATCCAAAGATTTTACTAATTCTGATTCTCTTTTAATATACACAAATCTTCTTTGTGTATATTTAATGTGATTTATTATAAGTCGTCATTTTAAATAAATCATTCTATATCAATTAATTACTTGGTAACAGGCATAAGATTAAGAAAGGAATGCTTCGGTGGTTTGGTCATGTGGAAAGAATTAATTAGGTAAGAGTGACAAAGAAAATTTATGTTGCAGAAGTGAATGGCAGAGTCGGAAAGGGACATCCTAGGCGAAAATTTATCGACCAAATTGGCGATTTATTGAAAACGGGCCAAATTAGGAGCACCTTTAACCGACGAGCATGTATGCGTAGGTGTATGGATGTGAAGGAGGCGAGAGGTGTGTCGGGATCGTGCCAAATGGAAGTCTGTAGTCTCTGCCCACCCAGAGGGGTGGGTGACAGGCGTGAGTGTTTATGTATGTATCAATTCTTTAATTAAGATTTTATTACTAACATAAATTTTAAAAAT